AAGGAAACTTGTTGTTTTCAACATGTTGAAAAAACAGTTTCATCTCTATGAACAATGAAGAAACCAGATAAAAACAAAACATGGCGGCTAGTGACATAATTGAAGGTAATAGTTAAAGGTCGACATCTTTGTAGTGGTTTGTTCTGGCATATTTTCAGAGTTCAGATTTCCTGTCTTAGTTTGTTTTGTCTCTTTTTCCTTCTTGTTGCTTGTTTCCCTTTTAGTGTTTCCTGTTTTATTTTGTAGCACTTATCCTCGTGTTTCCTGTTTGTATTGTTACTGTTACAATCTTGAGTGTCTTTAGTGTTTCCTGCTTTATTTTGTAGTACTTATCCTCGTGTTTCCTGTTTGTATTGTTACTGTTACTTTCTTGAGTGTCTTTAGTGTATCCTGTTTTATTTTGTAGTATTTATTCTTGTGTTTCCTGTTTGTATAGCTACTGTTACATTCTTGAGTGTCTTTAGTGTTTCCTGTTTTATTTTGTAATTTTTGTCCCCAGTGTTTCTTGTCTTGTCTTACTCCTCCCTTTGTCTGGTTTCCCTCCATTTTGATCTCCATGATTGTCTTCACCCGTGTGGTTAGTCTTACCTGTGTCTGATTTCCCCAATGTACCCTCCCTCATATCACAATCTTCAAGTTTTCACCTTGTGGAATTTTTTGTTGGACCTTTGTTTTTGCCTTTTTGTTTAATGAAATATTTTGGTTATCTTTCGACAAATTTTTGAGAACCTTTGGAATATTAATTTGAAACATCACTTTCAAATTAACCTTAAGCTTCCAGCTCCAAAGAAAGCAGATCACAACTGAACACCAGTGAGTCTGCCATTAATGCGTTTAGTTGTTTTATCTGAACTGCACCTAAAACGTCCCTCGCTCCGCCGCGGGCTGAACCAATTAACTGGTTAAAACGGATTAAAAGTAAATAAAGGAAAGTTCACGTCTACATCTAACTGCACTTTGAAGAACTTCTCTTTTTTTTTAAAAGTGACAGCCTTGAAAAAGTATAAAAAGTGAAACAACAGAAGCTGCTGTCCGTGATTGTTGTTTTTTTTCTTCCTCTGTGATGTTACAAAGACTCGCTGCTCTGAACATAAAAGGATTATTAAATCTCACTGACTGTGATTGTCCTTTGAACGACAAGATATTTCTCTCTTTCATATCAGCGGGGATATTTATAAGGATATAAACATGTCACCAACACGGGGATTTGGTTTAATATTTCATATCTGCTGTTTGACTTTGAAAAGTGCTTAACCGCTGACAGGATATCAAACCGGAGAGATAAAAACAAGTTGGATCAAGCTGGTTTTATCAACAACATATTTACACATGATTTCCACAGCTATTCAGGGTCAGTGCGAACACTTCCTGTGAGTAAACAGCGTTGTAGTTTATGTATTGGGTGCGGCATTAGCTCAGTCTGTAAGGACTTGATATAGGATCCAGAGGGTCACCGGTTCATGTCCTGGTGAGGACCCGGTCTGGAATTGGCCTGGTTGCTGGAGAGGTGCGAGTTCACTTCATGAGCACTGCTGAGGTGCCCTTGAGCAAGACATCAAACCCTGCTCGGGTGCTCTTTCATGTGCAGATCCCTCACTCTGACATCTCTCCATTAGTCCATAGGATCCTGTTTGTGCATGTGTGTGTATTTCCGTGTGTGTAGCATGTCTCAATAACAGAGTCCAAATGTAATTTCCCCTTGTGCGATTAATGGAGAATATCTTCTTCTTATTATTGAGGTTCATCTGCATCATGATATATTTCAAAGACATGTTATGCAGGTATCAGTACCGGGTACCAGTATCACTTTTAAATGTCGGTGTTTTCCAATACTGTGGGGTTTTATATGGGCTGATTAATTCCTCGGTTCAATAGTTCAGTGGGTCATTTGGTGTGTCAGTTGGTTGGTGGGATGGTTGATTAGTTTGGACATGTGGTGAGTTTGTGAGTTGGTTTGTTGGTTGGTTAAGTCGTTCAGCGGGTTGGTCTGTGGCTCAGTGTGCCGCTGGGATGGTGAGTTGGTCGGTAGGTTGGTTGATTGGTTCAAAAGTTCAGTGAGTCATTTGGCGAGTCAGTGGGTTGGTCAATTGGTTGTGTGGTGGTCTGTGGCTCATTAGGTCGCTGCGGCGGTGAGTCGGTCGGTGAGTTTGTTGCTTGGTTAGTCAGTCTGTCAGATGGTCCACTGGTTGGTTGGTTGGTTGGTTGTGTACTGTGGAGGTGAGACCGCTCTAGTTTTCCTGCAGGACATTTTTGATAAATAAACGCCCGGCGCTCAATCCTCTGTACATAGCTGACCTGACAGCTACCTGACAAATAGGTGTTTCATGGTTAGCTAAATAGGCAAGTGTGTGATATAAGTGGACATGACATTTGTCTCAGGGGCTAGCCTCTATTTGTTTGCACTCTGTGTATTTTTGTGCCTTCAAATTGACAACCGGAGCTAAAGCGGGAAAGGGTAGAAAAACAAACATGAAGATGTATACTTACTGTTACCTTAATGTTTTTTTATAGGTGTTTGAATTTGTTTTGTGTGAAGCTGTTTATCCACTTACCAAGAACAACATGTGTGTGTGTGTGTGTGTGTGTGTGTGTGTGTGTGTGTGTGTCTCTCTTTGTGTGTGTTTTGTCGGTGTGCTCTCATGACAGTAGCCTCCAGTAGGTAGAACAATTTAAAAGGATTTGATTAAATCGCTCATCATGAGATTACTCTTAAATCCTCTGCGTGTGTGAGAGAGAGAGAGAAAGAAAAAGAAGTAATTCCATTCTGCCTTAATTGTAAATCCCTTTACATAGGTTAAAGTATATTTCTTTGTCAACAGCAGAATTAAAATGAGAAGCTGCAGGAGCCTGAGCACTATAAAACCATTAGGGTACAAACAGCAATCAGCCTCCACGTGAACAATTGCTGTTCTGTTCTCTAATTACTGAATTACAACCAGGAGATTAACGACGGTTAAATAAAAAACAATTAAGAACAAAACAATTAAGGCTTTTTCCCCTTCCCCCGAAGCTATTGCTTCTCCCCAACAGTGTTAACTCTTTTATAGGGTTCAGACAACCTGCGGAGCACGTGTGTGTGTGTGTGTGTGTGTGTGTGTGTGTGTGTGTGTGTGTGTGTTCGGCTGCTAAAGGTACGAGCTTCAGGCTGAGATGTGATGTTCCCCAGAAGCTAAATTCAGAGGATATTAGTTATGAGATCAGGAGAAGAACAGCGAGCCCGGAGGATGCCGGGAAAAGAGATGAGAGATTTGGGATCATTAGAACGATTTTTTTATCCCGCTTATCGGGCCTCGCTGTGATGGATTCGAGCTATTTGAGCTCAGCACAGGCGTGTTGTGGAGAGACATGTGAAGCATCAATGAATTATTAGCAGCAGCGGCGCGGCGGGGCAAACACTCGGTTCTAAATAATAAAAACATGGAGCCCTCTGGAAAGGAAGCAGACTTTTACAGTGTTGTTGTTTTGAGATAATTATCAGCGTGAGAGTTCAGATCTATCTGAGGCGATATTAAAGTATGTCAGAGTGGTGTGTAGGATATGAAGCTCGGCGCACTGAAGACTCGACTGCTGATTGGTGGAAATCAGGATGTTGCATTGATTGAATGTGAAACCTAGAAAATGTAATTGATTACATTTGAATCTAAATGCTATCATTGTCTCTTAAGCCTCGGTTTCAGTCGGTTATTTTTTATATGGTCCAAGGCTGGCAAAGATAAATATTAACAACTGTAATCGCAGTACCATCAGTTTATCAGTTTTGAGTCTGTTTTGAGAGTTTGCCTAGTGTTTCAAAAAAAGACTGTTAACTTAAATGTCAGAGACGAGAGATCATCATAATGCGTCAAAAGTCATGTTTCTGGTCCTCCATCTAACGCAACTCCAGTAAAACAACTCTTTGTTGCTTGGGTTTGATTTCCACCAATCAATTTCTGATATTTTAACGATATACCTTAAGAGAAATAGTTTTGGGTGCTTCCAGTGTGACTGGTGGTTATTTCAGATAGGTGGAGGATATCCAGGGCAACATTTTAGGGTTATTTATTGTCCACAGAAGGAAGACTAAATGTCCTATGGAGAAAGTAATGTTGTATTGTATCTTGTTGTGCCGGGTGGTTTGTATCATCACATTTTTTGGCATTGTTTCAAACTATACCATATAGTATTGTATTGGTTTGTATTTTATCAGATCATGTCTGTTTGTATCCTAACTGTTTGTACTGTATCAGTTTGTATCTTATCACCTCTTTGGGAATATTATTAGACAGTTTTAGCTGCATACAGCTTAAGCGTACTGAAACACTGTTTAACAATCAGAACAAAAAAACAAAACGCTTCCAACAGAAATCTTTCCCCTTGCCTTCAGGATTAATTTGAATAATTTGTTCATAAAGACGAGGTTTACACCAATTTCTAAACTCAAGTCTGGCTATTCAGCAGCTTGGAAGTTCCACCTTCTTCTCCAGTTTTACTTAATTTGTCTGTTTTGATTGTAGAACACTCGTCAAAGCTTTTGGGATTCAAACAGCTGCCAACATGTTTCAACAGAAACAGCATCTTCTCTTAATGTCAAGAGTTTGAAAGAAGCCGATTGGGAATATTTCCAGATTAATCCAAAAAAAATAATCACACTTTTGAACCGTCCATCCGAGCTTAAATTAAACAGCAGGTTTGTTGTTGTTCGAATTTCGTCTCCATGTGCTGAGCTAAATAATTATGTCTCCAACTGCTCCGCACTGCAGTGGCCAAAACCAGCCGTCAATCACACAGCATGGGCCGGACTATAATGGCCAGTTGTCCTTATGTTTATTCTGAACAAACGGCTGTTGCTGCTGTCAGAAATGTGAAATAAATTATGTTCTGTGAGCTGGAGGCTTTCTCTAAAGAGAGTCTGAGCGGCCGCTGAGCTGATGGAATAACTAAAGCTGTCAGGAACTGGCAGGATGTACAGTCGGCTGGATCGATACGGCATTACACATTCTGAATCAGTTTTTTTCACTCACCATCCTCTTCCGTCTGTTTGACGATTTCCTCGCTCTCCTTGCTGCCTTCGGGGTTGGCAAGGACGAGCCGCAGTCTGACGGTGACAAAGGGCCGCAGCCCCCTTAGAGTGTAATGTGATGACGTCTGGATCAACTCCTCCGCTGCAAACTCCTGCTGGTTAAACACGTACTGGTACTGCACCTGCAAAACACAGAGAGGTGTGACATTTATCCAGCTGTCATTTGGTTAAAAACAATCAAAGCTAAAGTGTAGCAGGCCCTTAAGTGATGCACTTAACCCCACAAGGTTTGACACAAGTGTGGAGCAGAGAACAGCGTGACATCCATGTTTTGCAAATCATAGGTGGGACTAAAGCAGTGCTGTTGTTACATGTGCATTTAAAAGTTCAGCCACATGCGCCTTGAAGGAGTCCTGCAGAAAACCACAAAGTGCTCCACTGACAGCGAGGTTTGGTAAAAAACAGAAAAACTTCATCATGCAAAGATGTCAAATTTGCCCCAAAGTCCTTCTTCCATCACATCGGAGAACATTGAAACAAGAGTGTTACTTGAGTTCCTACGATTGTATTCACAGCAGACATTGTGGTAGTTGTAGTTTTTTTTTCCCCGTACCGTCAGATTGTAGCTGTGGCAGCGAGTCACCGCGTACCCAAACGTCTCCCACTGAATGGTCAGCTGACGGGCCCGAACATCCACCACATTGACGTTTTGGGGGCCGTGGACTGGATCTGAAAGGAGACAATGACAGGAACCCAAAATGTGTTAGTCTCTAATAAATGCCATATGCTAATAAATTCAGAACCAGGAAGAAGGGAGAAAACACAAAGTAACAGAAAAGAGCTTTCATGTCTAGACAGGACTTAAAGAAAATCAGCCATGCATTCATATCCAGCATGGAGTTATAATAAGCACCAGAAAGCTGAGCCTCTGTTCTCTAAATATACTATAATATTGAATTTCTGTGTGTCGGTCCAATGTTTTTACTCTGCAGGCCAAGTTACAAAAAAAGGAGAAATGAACTCTGCTCTCTGAAGTATGCTCTTTAAACAAATGACATGCTGAAATATTTACTCTCCTATTTCTGTTCAAATCCCTCCATATAGTCAACCCATTTTAAATACAAGTATGAGTGTTCCTTTCACGCAGGTTGCCATGTGGTGGACACTGAAGCTTCAGTGTTTAGCCAGCTCTGCATCGGTCTGTAAACATTTCTGTGTTCTAACCTCTCTCCATTTTTCAAAAAGCATCTCCAATATTGATCCTAGTTTGAGCACGTTTCTGCTCGTGGAGCTTATTAGAAACATGCAGAGGCTTTTTAGGTCGGGTACAATCACTTCTATCTGAACTAGTTCTCTTGCCTGCTTCCATCACTGCAACACCTGTTGGTTTGACCTGATAACTGCTCTCATATCTGGCAAACCTAGGGGCATCCAAAACGGCCGTGTGGGGGGTGCCTTAAAACCGCCTACCTTCTCTGGTCCAAACAAATCCAGAGCATTCAGGAGCAGAATCTAAAGTTAGAAGGAGGACATACTGGCTGCTGCATTGTTGTCAGAGAAGCCAGCACTTCAACATAGCATGTTTCCTTAATGTCTGATCATATAGTAAGGTCACTTTATCATCTCACTCACTACACATCTCATGGAGCTTTAAGATTTGTTATAACCGGCCCAATAATCTAAGACATTTAGGGGGTTTTATGCCTCATCAGCCACAGGTTTCAACCTGTTATAACTGCTAAGTCTGTCTGACCACCAGGCCAACGCTGCTTCAACAAAACCCCAAATCCCAGGCCAAAGACTACAGAGGGGTCTGTATTGATCTACGGACATTAAGCGGGGTATTTACTGCCTTTGCCATATGTCAGACACACACACACACACACACACACACACACACACACACACACACGCACACAGTGTCGTTGTAGCCATATGTTGGGCAGGTTTGTCGACCACGACTGACTGCACACTAACGAGCTCGTTCTAACAGATCTCTCTTGTCTGCCTAATTAATTTCAATCAGCCGCTGATGGCACCCAAAACAGGTCAGCACATAACGAGACAAGCTGTATGAGCTGTTCTCCTCCAAATAAAAAAAAATAAAACTTTCCTGACAGTCTGAGTCAAGTCCAAATTAGAAAACACAACAGACACGCACACGGGAGGATTGAGTTTGGCACCGACGTAAGAACTCAACTTTTTTTTATGTCTGCTTATTGCTGGAAAACTTTTTCCTTCATAAATAAGAGTCTGATGTTCCCAAAACTTTTTCACTGTAAAGTGTTTTAAGACATGCCATGCAGTAAGCAGAAAGCCTTATACATTATCTGATCGCCATTAAGCGGATTCATGCTTAATTCATTAATCCAATTCAAACAATTAAACAGAAACTTAAACATCGCTTTGATTTATTGTGTTTGAAGCTAATTGAGTTAATTTTGAGATTTTCCAAACAAAGCTCCTTAGTGTAAACATCCGATCATTCCAAATGAGACCAGATTAGATAACGGCACCATGGATAAGCCGTCTAAGAGGCCGGCTGAGACGACGGGACACTCTTTGTATTCATGGAGGGGTTTGGGTGCAGACTTCAGCTCGCCCCGGGGTGCTCTGGGGCTTAAAGAGTCTGTGTTTCTACTTAAAAGAATGAATCCCGGAGTTTCCTGGATAAGACGGTGGCAGACTGACATTTGGCAGCCAAGAGAGCAGCAGGGGGGGGAGAGGTAATATAACCGACATGTAACCCAGTCCTCCGGTCAGCTCAGCAGGAAGTATGCTTTCACATACTGACGGCAGAAAACAGGACCCCCCCAACTGAGTTAGTCTGATGCTCTGAAGGCCTTCAAATACGGGGAAATGCACGACATCATGCAGCACTCGGGCTGCAAAACTGACCTGACTCCTTTCAAAATGTGCAATAAATTATAGTCTGCATTTTTGTCTTCCAAGCAGCGGAATCATTCACAAACTTTCTCAGTGTTCTCAGACTTTCAGATGATAAACCACTGAAGAGCTGGTTATCAGGAGGGAGATTTCCATTGTCTGATTGTGGAAAAGTGGCGGCGATGTGGTTACAGATAACGGTGTCTGATTTCTGTGTCCTGAAATTGTGATCTCTAACCATGTGCATGCCTCTCCAAAACAGCCCACTACACTCGGCTGTTCATCTCCCTCCACTGGCTCCCAGTTACTGCTCCCATCAAATTTAAAACTCTGCTGCTCGCTTACAAAACAGACACGGAAACGTCTCCTCCTTACCTGAACTCTCTCATCCAGCGCTACACTCCCTCCCGCCCACTACGCTCTGCCAATGAAAGGCGTCTGAGCCAACATTCACAACAGGGCCCTAAGTCTTGTAGAAGTGTAGAATTGCAAGCATAACCTTAAATTGACTGATAAATAAAAATAAAACCAAAGGGACAATGACATTTGGGAACATAACTATGAAAAGAAAATGAGTTTTGTAAAGCAGATACCTCTACTGACAGGCTGACAGCTTGAGTTCCAGCTCTTCATTGAGGGACAAAAACAAATATTTTTGGAGGAGTCAAACTCCTCCAGAGAGCAAACCTGTGATTATGCACGCTTAAACAGATCAAGTGATGCACCTCCTAATGAACGCACGCAATTACAGAGACATAATCGCTCATCGCTGCGCCGCAGAGAGAGACAATGAAACCACCGCTTTTCTCCAAGAATAGCAATAAATCAAAGCTCCCCTCTGCTATGACTCATTTCTGCAAAGACACAAACCATGTTAGCGAAATCAGATTTATGCTCCGAGGTCTGGAGAGGAACAAGACAAACAACACATTTTAATCCCCCAGCCCCACCCACCCAGTGCAATGCCTTTAATCCAGTGGTCTTTAAACTGGGTATTGTGGAAGCTAATCTTTCAGATAATCTGGGGCTCAATTGGGACTCTCGCAACAGATTGCCAAATTATGTTGTTTTTTTTTTGTGTTGGGTGGGTGTTATCCTTTAAATGCTGATCAGACTGGGGCTTCCTAAATTTGAGTCCAAATCACAAGTTCCTGAAAATCGCAGAAGAATGGGAGGAGACAGAAAAGTGCTGGCGATGATTGAAGAAGGATGGAGGAAGAGGAGAGCAGGAGTTTTGACTTATAACTTTGTTTACATCGCTGGGACGATTATGGTGTCTCCCGGGCTGCCCTTGGTCGTGACAAATAACAGATTTACCACGCCATTTGTCAGATTTATTCCTCCTCTCTATCCACATTACTCCCGAAAACGTCTTTGCTCCATCGTTTTCAACCTCTCCCTTTGCACCCAATTTCAGAACGCTCTAAAAACGGCAACATCAAAGGCTTATAAAGATGTGTGGAGATGAAAAGACAAACTTTAAAAACAAACTAACAAAATGGATCTGTGCATGGATGCATTTAAAAGACCAAAACTGGTCAGTGAGTGGATAAACGCTCTAATGGATGGATGAGGACGGTGAGGCAGAGTCAGTTTTGTATTCATGGAGGTAGAGCAGCAGCACCTCCACAGGGACACATGCTTCATCCCTCATTAATCAGGATGGGTCAGGGGTTGCAATGTTAGCGATCACAGGCTGAGAAAGGGCAGTTTAGATGGCACAGCTGGCCGTGCAATGTGACAAGGCCAAACAGTGAGTCATGTTGCCAGCCAGACGTGGTCCCTGCGGTGGACCGGGTGTGACAAGTGGCCCTTGGTTCGTCCATTAGAAGGACGACAGAGGCTACAGCTGGTCAATGGCCTGCTAGCATAAGGCAGCATCCAACATGGACTATAAATACTACACTGACGCTCAAGCTGCTTACACCTACTGTTTTTTTAATTGTGGAAGTAAATGGTTCTCATTCCCATCTTGTCAATATGTGTCAGCTTGTTTGTTCAAAGTTCCCCTTCAGTGTCTGTTTCAAGGTACAATTAAACATCTGTTTAAAGGCGACCATTTGGTGTATGTTTGATGTAAACGTGCATCATTTTCTTTGACTTCAGCATCAATTGGAAGATACCGTCCAGCATTTGTCTACAAATAATATGTCAGCATCTTTGTGTAAATGGTAAATGGACTTGAGAGCTTGTATATTTCTTTTCTAGTCTTCTGACTACTCAAAGCTCTTTTACACCGCAGGTCACACCTACACATTCACACACTGATGGTCGAGGCTGCTGTGTGAAGAGTCCATCACAAGTCACTAATCCCATTCATACACCGCTGATGATGTTGCAAAAGGACACATCGGACATGTTGCTGCAGGAGCTGGAGATCAAACCACTGACCTTCTGGTTAGGAGACAACCGACTTTACCCACTGAGCTACAGCCGCCTCGCATTATTTTTGCATGCATTTCAAGGTTCTTTGGCATGCGCTTACAACAAACATGCATCATTTGAATGTAAAAGATTCCCCTGAGCATCAATTTGCCCTGCAGCATTTCTCTATATAAAATATTTCAGCATTTGTTTTAAGTCACCGTTTGGTGTCTGCCTCATGGTACCGCTCGTCATTTTAAGGTATCCTACAGATGCGGCTTTGAGTTACATTTTCATGTTTTACTTCGGGACGCTTGGTCACCTTTAGAATAAACTAGCTTGGAAATATTTCAGGTTATCATCAATGCGATTGTGTAACAGTCGGGTCACATTTGGGGACCAAGAAAACTTAGGAAAAGCATCCCGGTTTGGGCTCAAATAAGTACGAGAGGATGGAAACACTGACTACTGGATTCATT